AGCATCATTTTAGTCATCCAGGAACAAAACAGAGTAACCCAGAGCATTTAGCAATCCTAATATTGCAAATTAAGAACTGGAGCCTGCCCAGCAGATCTGCAGCCTGTTCCTCAGGGCTTTGCTGGGTGTTGTGCCATGGCTGGGACTCAGGGAGGAGGGGAAAGCCCCACTGCCACCAAAACAAAAACTTCACCGAAGGGATTCAACACTTTTAGTAAAATGGGCTGGAATATCTTCATTTTGCCATGCAGAAACTGGATTGCATTTAGGAAATATGACTTTTATATCAGCCCTTTATCAGTTTTAACTTCAACACGTGGCTAATAATTTATTACTTGTAGAAGTAAAAACTGGGAATGTGCTGTACTTCTTCTTCTCCTTGACCTTTTAGGTTTTCATCATTATTTATAGGTTACTGCAATGTATTAAAATAATTTTCTGAACCAAAAAAGAGGGAGAAAATCTTTCATGGGGAAAAAAAAAAAAAAAACAGAAGGGACTTGCTGAGTGTAATTTCTGTCAGCAGATGTGCCTAATTGATCAAAATAACTGCACAACAGTGTTTGGGTGTGTTTGAAATAAAATTGTTGACCACTGCAAGTTTTAAATAGTTCTGCTATAATTAATTCATGGCATATGCAGTCCAGTCCTTGAATTCTTTTACAATTTGCTCCTAAAATAAAACACTGTTCCTTCAATGAATTTGTGGCTTAATCAACCTGGTAACTTTATGTTATGAATGCTACTGGCTGGATGCAAAGACAGGTGAAAAGCAAATTTCAGAAGTTCTAATAGTAGATTGAAGTAATAAAATACAGAATCTATGAAATTAAAGGAAGTTAATTACTGAGATAATAACATGTCCATCTTATGTAATGTTTCTGTCCCAGAGGAACTGGTGGAAGTCACAGAGGAGAAACAGCTGGGGGAGAGCTGGGAGGTACCAAGGCTGCACAGAAACTGGAACAGGCTGCAGAACCCCTGAGGAAAGGAGAGTTAGGTCAGAACAAAGGTCTCAACCCCTCAGTGGGATTTCAACATCACAGAAAATTTGCATTTAGCCCCTGATCAAAAGCCATTCTCTGTGGTTTGGGTCCAGCTCAGACCAGGTGGGAGGGTCCTGTGCTGTGCTCTCACAGGACTCCCACAGGCTGGGCTGCAGAGCGGGATAAATTCCTGATTTCCCCCAAAAAGCAGCAGGGTTGGGGTTTTTGCAGGCTCCTACAACACCAGGAGGTGTTGCTGTGCCAGAGCAGCAATCAGAAGCTTCAAGAGAGGTGCAGTGAGGTGAGGGCAGCACAATGCAGCTCCCCCGGGTGATGGGTGCTGCTGTTCCTCTGCTGTTTCTAGGATGGAGGTCCAGGGAAAAGGCTTTGAAGTCAGGGAATCCGGGTGCCAGGCAGCTCAACTGCTCTTTTAATTAAATCTGGTTAGGAAATGATTCGATCTTGGCAACAACAGTGTCTGCTAATTGTAACTGCTTGTTCTGAATGTGTTACTCACTTGAGTTACACCAGCACTAAATGTTCCTCCTAACATATTTTTCCCTCCCCTGTAACACGATGAATCATGCAGGACTTATTTTCTGTGAGAGCTGGTGCAGCCCAGACCCAGTTATTAGAGGAGAATTAAGTTAAAATCAGAAATTGGAGTGATGGTCCAAATTCAGCTGGACATGCAAACACTCAGCTCCCTGTCAAGCACTGGTGCTTTGTTTGTTTGTTTGAACTCTGTGATTCAGCACATTCTTGGGTTGTGTTTTGGAACTTACTCAGGGTTAAAGCACATTCTTGGGTTGTATTTTGGAACTTACACAGGGTTAAACACCAGACTGAGTCAGGGTTTGGATTTCTGTCACTGTCCACAGTCCCAGCTACATCACAGAACCTGTTGGACATGGAGCTGTTACAAGCACTTGAGCAGTAAAACCCCCAATATTTCACCAAATATCTACATTTTTATAGCCATGTGCTGGGCTAAACTTATGTGCAACCATGTTGAACTAACTCCTGATCTATTAAGGAAATTGTTACTTGGAAAAAGCAAATCAGCTGCCCTTCCTGATTGTTTGTGTCTCCAAAGTGTGTGTCAGTGGGAGAAGTGGTTTTTTAAAAGCTGCATCAATTCTGCATCAGGATTTGTGTCCCAGCAGCCACCAGTGATCAAGAGCAAGCACTGGATTTGGCATTGCCAGGCCAGAGGGGCCAGAGAAATGCAGGTGGCATCACGATACACAGGACCCTGGAGAGGTTTGCTTCATAGTCCAGACCAGGATTTTTTCTTATTTATCATCTCACTGGACCTACTGTAGAGAATTGCCAGCCAAAGAAAAACTAAAAATTTGTGAAAAATAAAAAAATCAGATGGACGTGTGCATAAAGAGGACCCTGGAGAGGTTTGCTTCATAGTCCAGACCAGGATTTTTTCTTATTTATCATCTTACTGGACCTACTGTAGAGAATTTCCAGCCAAAGAAAAAATAAAAATTTGTGAAAAATAAAAAATCAGATGGACGTGTGCATAAACCATCAGAAATTGCATATTTAATGGGGCAAATGTAAATGCCTGTCATCTAAAGTCAACTTGTTCCTCTTGTTGGAACATCCCCGTGAATAATCCGCTGCAGTTTCTCTGGTTTGAATCATCAGGTCAATAGCGAGATAAACCCAAGAGATTAATTCCAGTCACGCCATCCCAGTGGTGCCAACAACTGTGCTTTTCTCCACTTCAGCTGTGCAGGAGGGAGGCGAGCAGCTCAGCTCCCAGATGCCTGCAGGAAGCTGCAGAGCTCTGCAGGTGGCTGGGGCTGGGTGTCCAGCTGGGACACGGGGCAGTGCCTGCAGGTGTCCCCAGGCTCCCAGTGTCCCCAGGCTGGGCAGGAGGGGACATGCTCATCCACTGAGCTTTGCCCCATCACAAGGACAGGGGGACCTTGGCAAGATTGAAGAAATGGAGTCATGAAAGCTGGAAATCTGATTAAAAACTAATTTAGGCCTTGATTAATCTCAGTGCTTAAATACATTCCCAAAAGTCAGCGTGTCAGAGCCCTGTGGGGATCAGGAGGGCTCTCACTGTGGGTGGCAGGGGCCATGAACACACAGGTGTGTGACCTGCATGGAACCCCCTGAGCACCTTCACACCATTAAAGGGTCACATTGTACAAAACCATCCATTCTGTCCTTAAAGGAGATTGCTGACCTCTGCATGTTGATTCCTTCTGGCTGTACATCAGTATCCCAAAAAAGGCATCTTCCATTTCCATCAGAAAATCACTCCCACTGCCTCTCTGGTAATCATTCCCCTAATTCTTTACTATTTATAGCTTTGGATTCTTCTTAGCTATCATCACATTTTCAAGAAGTCTGTTTTTTATCTTTCTTCCAGAGAAACCATCACCATTCAACAAAAAAATATAACACCAAGGCTGTTTGATATGGTCAGTAAGCTTGGGCTTTTTTTTTTATTCCTCATTTTTATTTTAAATAATTATATGAAAAAGAAGTTTGAAGACTTTTGCTGTCTAGTGTGATATGTTTACAGTCTGCAGACCACAACTGCATTTCAAGCAAATGCTCTTGCAAACAGTATGTGTTTTATGCAAAGCAGTGCAATTTGTTAGGTACAGATTGATCATCTGGCTACAGGCAAACTTTGAAAGCTGTCACATACAGTGGTTTTATTTTAAGCTTGTTACTGGCTTTAAATACAGAATTTGGATTTGTGTCTGTATGCCTGGTGGATGAGCTGTGGATAACCAGACTGGTGTGTAGCCCTGAAAGAATGTGTCCTAACGCCTGGCTCAGGATATTCATTGCAAGAACACTGGAAACTCAAAGGCAAATAAAATCACAAGTGTGTTTGTGCCAACAGAAGCTGGTTTGTTTGTCACTCATTCAGCGTTAGGTATTCAGCAAGATGCATGAGTGGTAGAGACAAAGTTTATTCTTAGTAGTCATAGAGAAGAATGAGCACTCATCACTGAATAAACTCTGACTTTTTTACATTCTCCCAGCCTCCAGCTCCACGGAGATTTTTTGGAGCTGGCTCTGTTGGGTTGGGTGCTGCTTATACCTATGCCAGGAGAGAGGACAGCACTGTAACCTGTGTTGTTGCTTTGCTTTGTGGATTTTGCTGACGCACACGTGCACATTTCTGTCAGTGGTTTTGGGAATGGCCCGGGCCAGGCCCAGGTCCCTGTGTAGAAGTGTTTGATGGGCAATACCAGGCTGCTTTGCTTTGTGGATTTTGCTGACGCACACGTGCACATTTCTGTCAGTGGTTTGGGAATGGCCCGGGCCAGGCCCAGTTCCCTGTGTAGAAGTGTTTGATGGGCAGTACCAGGCTCAGTTCCCCATGTAGATGTGTTTGATAGTGTCTCCAGGCTCAGTTCCATGTGTAGATGTGTTTTATGGGGTTTCCAGGCCCAGGTCCCCATGTCGGTGTGTTTGATGGTGTCTCCAGGCCCAGACCCCTGTGTAGATGTGTTTGATGGGGGAGGCCTGGACCAGCTGCCCATGTAGATGTATTTGATGGGGTCTCCAGGCCCAGTTCCCTGTGTAGAAGTGTTTGATGGGGTCTCCAGGCCCAGTTCCCCATGTAGAAATATTTGATGGGGTTTCCAGGCCCAGGGCCCCATGTAGATGTGTTTGATGGTGTCTCCAGGCTCAGTTCCATGTGTAGATGTGTTTGATGGTGTCTCCAGGCCCAGGCCCCTGTGTAGATGTGTTTGATGGGGGAGGCCTGGACCAGCTGCCCATGTAGATGTATTTGATGGGGTCTCCAGGCCCAGGTCCCTGTGTAAAAGTGTTTGATGGTGTCTCCAGGCTCAATTCCCTGTGTGGATGTGTTTGATGGTGTCTCTAGGCTCAGTTCCCTGTGTAGACGTATTCAATATGGTCTCCAGGCCCAGTTCCCTGGGTAGGAGTGTTTGATGGGGTCTCCAGGCCCAGTTCCCCATGTAGAAATATTTGATGGGGTCTCCAGGCCCAGTTCCCTGTGTGGAAGTGTTTGATGGTGTCTCCAGGCCCAGTTCCCTGTGTAGAAGTGTTTGATGGTGTCTCCAGGCTCAGTTCCCCGTGTGGATGTGTTTGATGGGGTCTCCAAGCTCAGTTCCCCGTGTAGATGTATTTGATGGGGGAGGCCTGCCCCTCCAGGATCAGGCTGTCCGTCTCGTTGAAGGTGTCGCTCTCCCCAGAGCGGTTTGCACTCTTGGCTCGGTTCAGCCGCGACTGCAGCCGCTCGTGCTCCTTGCGCAGCTCGGAGTAGGAGTGGGAGAAGGTGTGGAATATCGAGGTTGCGGGGAAGGACATGATGAGGATCCCGCTGAGGATGCTGCTCAGAGCCACCATCTGGCCCGGCACGCTCCGCGGCACCATGTCCCCGTAGCCCACCGTGGTCATGGAGATGATGGCCCACCAATACGAGGCGGGGATGCTGGTGAATTCCAGCACCCTGCCCGACTCGTTCTCGGCCAGGTACACCAGCGGGGAGAAGAGGGTGACGGCCACGCACAGGAAGAGCAGCAGCAGCCCGAATTCCCGCGTGCACTTGCGCACGGTGAGGCCCAGGGTCTGCAGGCCCAGGGAGTGGCGGGCAAGGCGCATGACGTACAGGATCCTCAAGGCACGTAAAACCCGTAGCACCAAGCCCACCTTCTCCAGGTACGTGTTGCTGCTCGGCCTGTCCTCCTCCTCGCTGGAGTCGTCCTCGGAGAAGATGAGGGAGGCGTAGTAAGGGGAAATGGCCAAGAAGTCAATGATGTTCAGGGGTCCTTTGAAGAACTGACACTTGCTCCTGGCCTGGATGAAGCGGAGGCAGAACTCCAGGGAGAACCAAGCCACGCAGATGGTCTCGATGACGAAGATGTAATAGCACTTCTGGGAACACTCACCCTGCCACAAAACAGAGAGGGAAATAAACAAAAAGAACAGTCTGTGAACCAGCATCCAAAAACGCTGAGGGAGAAGCAATATGGATCTGCCTGAGTCACTGGTAGCAGAGATAAACAAACCCCAGCTCTCAGGTAGTGTGGCAGCTGTCCTTCAGTTCCACAGAGAATATTGAGCACACAAAATAGCTGAACAAACAGCTCATTTGCCTCATTGGTCGTGGTCATGCCTCTTTGGTCAGGTAGGCCATGAGGAAATTGAGGCCTACCTGCCTCATTTTACCCTGTTGCTTCTTCCAACCTACTGGAATTAAACCCACCTATGTATAAAGTCCTGGCGTGCAGGCTGTAAGTCCTGAATGCTTCAGACAGGTAGAAAAATTATAAAAGAAAGGCCTCATAAAATCAGGCCTGCCCTATTAAATTAATAGCTGGCCTGACACTTCTTCTAAAGGCAGCTAAGTACTTTGCAGGTTCTCATGTGAAAACGTCTTGAAAATGAGAGTTCGTTTACACAACAATCTATTTCTAGGGCGAAACACAAATACACCTGTATAAACAATAAGATCTGTCCCATGAGAATCAGTGAAAAAAATATGCAAACAATTCAAGAATAGAGAGATTTGATGGACAGGTTAAATACCTTTTACTAGCCAATAGAGTAATTGGCAAGAAAGTTATCAACAAATTAAAGTTGCCCATGAGGTCTGTAAAAACTGTATAAAATTAGTTGTGTGAATAAAAAAATTGGCTTTTCCCACATGAAGAAAACTGGGTCATGGCAGACTTTTTACAACACTCAATATTTCCCACTTTCTGCTGCACTTGGGAGTAACAAGTCTTTTTGTGATACAGAATTGGCCAGTAGAGGTTCCTCCTCAGGAGTGTGTTTACCCTGCCCAACCCTCAGAACAATTTAGCTCTGTAGCACCATTTGGGGATTTTTTCTTTCTGCACAGTAAGCTGCCAAGTCCATATTTTACCCCTAAAATGTAACACCACAGGAGCTGATGAAGGCCTGGCTGATGAAGGCCAGGGCTCTGCATGCAGGGTCAGGCTGTGGCTCCATTTGCAGTCAGGGCTGGAGCACATTGATGTTTGCAGAGCTGCTGACTGGGCTTGATGAGATTGCCTGCAATCAGCAGTTGTGCTGTGCAGTGCTCACTCTTTCTGAGCCCTGAATTATTTGTACAGTGCAGCCTGGACTCTGCACAAACCTGCTTCTGGTCACTCCAGTGATGGGACCTCTGAATTATTCATTGTTCCCATCAAGATTTACTTAATTTTTTGTTAGCTGGGCTGAATTTCCGGTACATCTGTTATTTATTTGCCTTTAGACATTTGCAGGTGACAATGCTCTCAGATCATCATGGGGTTTTCCCTACTCCTTCCTTAGAAAATAGAAGAAAAGAAATTTTGTTTAACCTGGTTAAACCTTCCTGGTTTGTTAAACTTGGTAGGTTTAACCATTAAGATGTAACCTGTCTTTTGAACTGAGCATGAAATTTCAAAGTGTAGCAATGTAGAGACTGTTTGAGAGATTTTTAATTCTTGCCACCCTCAGTAACTTCAGTATTCCCTATGGAAATTTATATTTACTTAGTGAAGGCAATTTATGCTGTCAGCATAATGAGAACATGCTCATTGCCTTCACATTGGGAGATGGATTTCATCCCAAGAGTTTGCATGTGAATGTTTTATATATTAGGAACATTTGTATATATTATGGAATGCACCTGACTTGATTTATGTAGACTATCCCTCTTTAATGTCAGTCTCCTCAAACATTCTTCATCCTTTTGAATATCTTGCTCAAAAGCAGCAAATACTGAAATAAGAGGTGGTGGGGGAGGAAATATCAAGCACCAAAGCCAATTTCTGTTTCTCCCAGTAGTTTTGAGGATTTTTACAGCTCAGTGTTTTATGTTGCTCTCAGAACTGTTGTCCAAAGAACAGGCAGAACACACTGACTTCAAAGCTCTGTTCTCACCAAAATACCGATGCCCCCGTGTCAGTGGGAGACTTCAACTTTTTTTACCACTACATTCTCATTAGTTATTTTCACTACAGCCCAAATACTCTGATCCATGCAAGCCTTTTTTTGCCTAAATGTCAGATAAAGAAATCTCTGTGCCACGACAACTTCTGTACACTTCCTCTTTCTGAACAAACCAGACATATTTGGATATTCTAGTGCTCAGCACCTGCTAACACAAACCCCAGCAAACTCTCTCCCTTGACCTCACCATTTACTAGAGTAGAATTCTGGGCTTTTGTTTCCAGATTTTTGAGTCAAATTTTCACTGAGCTCCTTCTCCTCCTGCTGCAGTTTTGCTCATGGTGGAGTGGGAGCTCTAAAAGCTCCAAGCTGGGGTGGTGCTGACTGTGAGCAAGAGGGGAAGATGAGGTTTTATTTAGAACTGACCACAGCATATTTTCGGAGGGCTTTTTCAACCGAACCATCTTACATCAATCTGTACTCAACCTGTCACTGACTTTGATGGGAGAACAGTTATGACAGGCCCAGCAGTGAGTATGTAACTCTTTATACTTTTTATTCATCCTGCAGATTTACTTTTCAACAATGCACGAATTTATCAGGATTTATGGAACTTGCTTCCAGCAGAAATTCTACAACCTATGATATAAATGTAATAAAATGAGTGCCTGGTATTGATCTTCTCTATGAAATGAGCATTTGGCTCAGCAATGAACGAAACAATATTTTGTGTGTAAAGAGATATATACTGAGCCTGGTGTCTGAAATATTGAGTGGTTTCTTAGATTTATAAACTATCTCAAAGAAGCAAAGGAGTTGTTTCAAGCTCTTCTACCACCAGAGACAGTCAAAGATTCAAGCTTCCTTTGGTTATCCCCCTCTGGTGTATAAGAGAGTGGCTTATTTTCCATGTTCTCTTATGTGCTGGAGTTTATGGTGTTACAGTGAGATGGCTCATTTTAGTATATTTCTGTTAAATTCTCTTTAAACAGTAAAAAAAAGCAGGTTCATAATAAAATAGAAGCAGAGCAGTACTGAGTCCAGTTAACCCAGTTCCCTCAACAGCCAGAGGAAAGAGGTGCCCAGGGAACTCTCCTGGCTTCTGTTTTCCCCTCACAGAATCCCAGAATGGTTTGGGTAGAAGGGAACTTAAACCCATTTTAAACCCTTAAACCAGATTGCTCCAAAGCCTGTCCAGCCTGGCCTTGGATACTTCCAGGGATGGAACAGCAAAAAAGCAATTTATTCACTAATTGTGAATTCCAGCTAAATGAGCTTGAGATATGTGCCACTCACAAGATAAAAAGCGATAAATTTCTCAGCCTCTCAGTTTGCCAGGAAACATTAATTAAAGTGTAATGACATCAAGGATAACAAACAGAATCAGATCCCAGGGTTATGCAGCACTAGCCTAACTTACAACAGGTATAAATCTCATCTAGTGAAAATAATATCTTTACATGCATCAATAATTTTAGTTATGCCCAGGGAGACTGAATCAGAATTTCCCCTGCAGAATATATCTCTCATCTATCCATGCTGGTTTCCAGATGCTGCTCACTTTTATTTATGTAGACAAGGAAAAACTTTATTATTATTAAATAACTGTAGGACACCACCAAGGAACTCCTCTTGTTCCTTCAGGGTCTGCTCTGTGCTGATCATTTGTGTCATACCTGTCTGCCCTCTAAGACAACTGACAATTAAAATATGCTTTGGAAAACTTGTTCTGAATCATTACCTGATCCACCAATGAGTTTCCTGCAGCCAGAGATTTACCTCAATACCTTTTGCAGTGGGTATTTACCCTTTATTCCCTCTTAATCTGAAGTCCAATGAGGAAAGAAATCCTGTTATTCCCATTATAGTGGAGTGCAGTGCTGCAGCTGTGTGAGGATAAAATTGGATAGGTACCAACTTTCTGCCCTGGGTGTGATTGACTCTAAGTGGAAGTTTATTGGCAGCAGTCTGAGCCTGTTCTCTGCATTGTGTAATTTGGGCTTTCCCACAATCTACAAACAGGTCTAGGAGGTAAAACAAACAAAACTACAGCATTTCCTGTGATCTCCTTCCTGTGCTTGCCAGGGAGCTCTGCTCAGGGTGGTGTCAGTGATTCCAAGTGTTTCTTGATGATCTATTCCCAAGTTAAATATCAAATGATCTATTGTATCAAATGATCTATTCCCAAATTAAATAGCAAAAGTTCCTCCAATGCTTGTGGAACACTTTGCTAATAAGCACAGCTTGATCAGTACCTGGATTATTTCAGAATCATGTCATATTTCCAGAGCTTTGGAGTGGAAATCAATATGTACCTCAGCACAAGGTATATGTGTTGCTTACACGGCACACTTATGAGAAAGGAATCTCATTTTATTTATGAAGCCAAGCTGATAAAAGTCCTTTAACCCAGCTAGAAGTCATAACAGAACCCCTGTATGCAAACACTGTTATTCCCAGGGCATGTTTATGGGAACCAGCTGGCTCATCATCATGATCAAACAAATGAGCAATGGGCTGAAAGGATCTGAGCCCTGCGAGCTGCAGCACTGATGGCTCCGAGGAAAGGCTGCCCTGTGCTCAGTGACCCACACCCAATGGAGCAGAACCAGGCAGGGAAACAGCTCAGAGAGCACATGCTCCATCCTATTGGAGTCCTAGAGGAGCTTCCCTGAAGAGGACCTGCACCTTCTCATCCCTCTGCAGTGGAGGGACAGGCTGCCAGGATGTCACCGTTCACACCAGGAGCGCGCTGGCTCCGTGGCTGATGCAAGGTCATGGTTCACATCTGCTAAATTTATCCTGGCAGGGGCAGGTTTTGTTTGGCACAGCCAAGCTGCTGCTCAGATCCTTCCTGTGATGCACACACTGCTCTGCGGACAGAGGCCAGTGTCCACCAGAGAGGCAGCAGATGGGATCAGCCTGTCCTGCAGCTCCCGACCTGCCTTCTGCCAGCCTGTGCTGTCCAGCACTTATCCCAGCAGGACTGCTCTTCCTGCAGCCTG